GGATGGGGCCTGGCAGGGTTCCCCCCATGGTTCCCTCCTCCAGCTCCCCCCCACCACTTACCAGCATAGAGTTCAGGTCCAGCTCCCTGCAGCAGCGAGCAGGGACTGCCCAAATCTCCAAAGCTCTGCAAATCTTTTCCGAATCGATTCACACCTTTTTACTGGTCTCCCAATTCGATTTGGATTCAGAGATTTGGCTGCCAAATTGGGCCAAATCTCCTTAAATCAAAAAAAGACCTGAAGCTTCATACAGCCCTAGTAATTGTGCTATAGAAATAAAATACATACCATAGGTGGAAATGTTTTTTCATATACTTTCTTCCACAAATCCAATGGTGTATGAGCATATAGTTTTCCAATATCACTGTCTGAGGCAGGTGGTGGTCCTAAAGATTACATCATGATACAGAATGTTATCAGCATGCTGTCCTAACAAAATGAATTGCTATAGTATGTTCTGCTTCAGTCCATCTAATTTAGTGTGGTGGATTTCATAGATTTCATAGAGGATGAGCCTGAAGAAAATGTAAATCCTCTATTGTGAGGCTATCACATGTGATTATATAGTGCGTTTTCTTCTTTTTGACTTGAGCTACTTATCAATTTATGATCTAGAATTATTAGAACAAATACTGTATTTACTCAAATCCAAGATGAGGCTTTTACCCCCATGTAACATGGGCAGGAAAAAACTTTGCTTTGAATTTGAATATCAGTCTTAAGTATAGTCAGGTCCAGGCCCAATCGACCCAGGGTCAGAGCCACTGCCTGCCCTAGGCTGGTGCTAGAGCGGGTGCTGTTACCATTCCCACCCCTTGGCCAGAGCCAGAACCAGAGCTGCTGCAGAGGGCAAGCATCATTGGTAGCAGGGTGGGAGGCAGGCAGCAGGAGGGCAGATGGCTTGAAGGGGAGAAGGTGGCAGCATGGGGCAAGTGGAAGGGGAAGCAAGGGTCAGACCATCTGCCCCCCATTGTTGCTTTCCCTACTGCAGCAGTGGGGAGGAAAGGGGATGAATTTAAGATGATCCTCCAATAATTATATTATATTCAAAGAAAATCATAAACATATTTATAATTTTCCATGTAAATAATTTAATTATTTGAGGGGGTCAACTTAAAGTCAAAGTCGTATTGGAATCAGGTTAACATGGTAACCTATATTGTTCATCTTAACTAGTATAACAGCAGAATCTATGAATCTATGTTTAATAATTTAAATGTTGACTTTTTCTTTTAAGTTTACAAAATTATTTGCCTCTTTGTTGTCATGCACTTCCTGAGTTAAATCACTTATGATTAATTAGCATTTTAAATCTGGTGTGAACTTATTTCCTCTAATTTCAAAAAGCTATGAATAACAAAACTGTTGGACAAAAAGTTCACTAACCTATTTGACTTAGAGAATCTAATCCTGCTGGGATAAACAGTGGTTTATTTTGATCCACTGATACGGATTTACTAAGCAGATAAAAGAAAAGAAACCAAATTAATATTAGTAATCAACTGCCCATCAAATAATTACCCTATCAGACAAAGGTGAGCTTCACATTTGGTTCCAAGTACATATACACCTAAAAAAATTGTTCCTATCCATTACTATTCCCCTTAAGAACCAAAAATCTTTAAAAATGTGAGAGGCAATGATTTTTGTGGGGGATACCTTTTATTGCTTTTATTGGACCAACTGCATGGTTGGGAAAGATTAAGAATGTGGGGAGTTTTATTTGTTCTGAGCCAAGCAGCCAAGACCCAGGAGAAAGAATCCAAAGTAGAACTCTTACGCAGATGGTATCTTTAGAGAAAATATATTTTGATGATATTTGGGGTCAAAATATAAGGTGTTTATACATGTGCTCTGGGATCGGTGGGGGGTACTTTAATTAGAGTGGCTCTGAGAGCCGCTCTAATTAAAGTGTACCGAGTGCTTAAAAATGGCGAACCAGCTTTACATAAAGTACCCCTGCTGCCATTTTGAAGACATATGCTGATACATGAGACACTGGAGGCTGCTGAAGCGTGGTATTTAACATACTCGATTAATTGGCTGCTCTGATGCAGTGTAATTACAGGCAGTCCATAATAGTCACTGTAATTACAGCACGTTGGAGCAGCCTTGCTGCTCATGTATAGGTGCCCAATGTTTTGAAAAAGCCTTTAGAAATACTCAAACTCTGTACTCAAAACTCTCAATAAATAAAATAAGATAAAAGATTGTAATTATGTTACCTTCTGTCAAAGCCAAAGGCCAAATGATTAATAAGAATACGTGCTTTCAGAAGAAGGGTATCAGGTTTGCCTGTAAACTATAAGAAATCAAGGAATAAAGTACACGTTATTCTGTTCTGTAACAGAACTTTGAACAAATTACACTTTGTGCTATGAAGATTACAAACAGAGGTCCTAGACAGTTTCTTAATTCAATTATGCTAGGATAAAATCAACTGGGAGTGATTCTATCAAAGCTAGTTAGTATTTGAAATCAAAATCAGGCTCATTGGTTAATAGAAATGTGTATCAGTTGGTTATATATCTCAAGAAAGTTGAAATGAAAACCTGCATTCAAGAAAGAATAGAAGATGGAATTTTCTAAATTTATAAGGACTTACAACTTATGATTTATACATTTTAAACTAAGAGACCTTTTGTAAGAAATTAATGAATTAAGTCTTTAAACTATATTGTCTAAAATACCATGAACACTAAGAATTGAACCAAAAAACTACAAAAACGTTCACTTATGATTTAATTTAAATCATATGATAAAAGAAGCTTTACATTCAGTGGCTAAATAAGGGTTAATAATATAAGTTAATCAGAAGGCAGCCACAAAAAAATTCCCTGGAGCATTCTTTTTTCTCTTTCAGCTTGTGGATTTTGTTTTTAAATAGCAAATTTCCCAAGCCAAGTCCTGTTTTTATAGAAGGAAATTAAAATTCTGCTGTTTTCTTCAGTGGGATTAGTACCTGGTCTCCACAGAGCAGTTCTGCTATCCTATATTGTTAATAAATATAGGCTTAACACACACATTAGCTTTCTTTTTACCTAAAAAATAATCCACCTGCCAGAAAAAAAAGAACAAGCCTCTGAGCTCTTGTACAAAGCAGAAAATGTCTATTTTTTCTAAGTCCCCTTATGTTTCACCATGGAAGACCTGAAGTGCAGGCCTTGGCAAAAAAAGAAACTTGCTCCAGTTTACCTTAATGTGTAATGATAAGCCATTCAAAAGGCTGACTTTCTAATACCTGTTTAAGATTTAGTTTATCTTCACTAAACTGATTAGAAAAAAAATCAAGCCATTCTAAAAATACCTAAAAGTATCCGCTCAGTGTTTCATATCTGTTTAATATTACATCTGAAGTTAAACTACTGCAATTTTGACTATGGACAAACAGGTGCCTTTTAACAGCTTTAAATGCAGGGGAAGAGGATGGGAAGAGGAGCTGCCACACAGGCAGGTGTTAGCTAAATCTTTGTAACTTTAGCCCTATATGAAACAGGGTTAGGAAACTGAGGAATTATACGGTTGGCTCACCAATGGATATAACTCACCCATCCCTTGTAAGCCCAAATAATACTGCATAAGAGGTTCACTATTTGAGGGAGCCACCATAAGCCTTGAGCATTTGGCTCAAGCACATCATGTTTATATTGCTGTTTTATATTTCTATTTTAAAATGTTGTTCCATCCCCTAAAGAACTGTCCATCTCTCTCCTCCCATAATAAAACAGAATGTACAAACCACTAATGATGCTCCATAATAATGTGAAACAAAACGAAGAGTCTTGCATATTATTTTCCTCATTTCAGAATCAAATTCCTGAAGTTCACATTTGGAAATGTGCCAAAAAGAAACAAAAAAAACAAGAACATTTTACACAGAGATTTTTTTTGCATGTACTACACTGTGCATTTCTTACAGTACAGAATGTAGCTAACATAATAATTAGATCTCAATTCAGTAACAACTTACTGGAACTTGAAAATAGGAATCTGTTTCTGTTTTTTTTTCACTTACAGAGAGGGCACTTATCTCAGGCAATATGTTACTGTAGCCTTAAGCCTAATCACTGCCTGAATTAACCTCTAAACTGGATATGCATATTCATATTCAAAGGATCCTTGAGTGTCCTTAGACCTATGGCTTCCTGCCTTTTAAACTCTATGCACAAACCACATATAAGCATTTTAATTAATGTCTGTTCAGTATGTGTTGTATAAAGATGATAGACCTTCTTTAAAAAAATTGTGGATTTTTTGTCTAAGTGAAGCCAGGATTTTATCCTGTGCCTGTTTAGTGGTGAATAGTTTACAGAGCTGAGATAATTATGGCTCTGTTAAACAAAGCAAATCCGTAACCAAAAAGAAACTAAAGGGTTGCCAACTATATATAAATGTACAGACAGTCCATAACAAAAAGAAAACTAAAAATGGTTGTCCATGAAGTCAATCGAGCTGCCCATAAACCATAAATGGCAAGCTTGATTGAAAATCCATTATCAGAATGAGGCTGGATGTAAATGTTGATGTATAGACAGAGCACAGTACAACCATCTTGTGTCTAAGTGGGTGTGCAACTCAGTACCCTGCACAGAACTCTCCATCAGGGTTTTGTGGCCCATGGGAGCCTTTATAGCTCCCTTTCCCTCCTTGCCTCCTTCCCCCTCCAGTGGTATACTGCTGCACCTTTGTCACCTGCTTGTAATGGTTGCTCACCTTGAAGTAAGCAGGGCCGTGTGGCCCTGAGCAGTCTGAGAACCTGTGTGGGACAGGAAGGGGGGTAGTGCAGCCACGACACAGCAGTGGAGGTGGAGAAAGGCAGTGGGTGGGAGTCCATGCTGGGATGGGGAGAGCAGGGCCAGCAGGCCTAAGGCTGGGAGGGTGGGCTAAGATGGTGGTAGCACAGTGCAGGCTGTAGTCAAGGGTATCAGAGTGTGCCGTGAGTGGAGGAACCCTGGGGTGTTGTAAACCCATCACTGCAGTCAAGTAAAACTGTGAGATTATTAACAGTTTGGGTTTTGCTTAATGTTTAATGGTTAAGGTTTTCTCTAAGGACGTGTGTTTATCTTTTTTTTCTCCAGTAATAAACCTGGTTTTAGTTGAGTGTTGCTTGCAAGTGGAGAAGTTTGTTCACTTTCCAACATGCTGTTAAAATGTACTTTTCCAGGTTTCTGTGTGGGGTCTTGAGCCAGATTTAGAAAGTTAGTGTTTAACCCCTAAATATGAACCTGTAGTTTGTTATTGCCAGGCGCTGGCAGAGGGGTCACATTTAAGTTAGGTAAAACCAATGTCAATAAAAACATGTAATTAAAAAAGTTTGGTTGTCAGTAAAGAGTTTGAAGATTGTCAGTAAAAATAACTTTCAGTTGGCAACTCTGAAAGGAATGCATGATATCTTACAAATAAGAATTCACAGCTGGCAAGGCAGCAGTGTATTATGCTGCCATCCAGAGGACCCAATATGGAAAACATTGTAAAACATGCTCTGTCCCAGGTTCTCTCTCATGCAAAGGAAATGTGTATTTGTTTGAATATTTTAATAATGTCAAAAAGGAACCAACTGCACTGCTCTCTGATAGTGCTTTTCAATTAAGCTATTGATGAGCATTAGATGTGACTGCTAACTTATTGGTCTTTTCTAAATCTGATGATAAATGACTGCATGCATGAGAGAGGATTTTAGACAGATCCCAGAATATATATGTAAATATTTTATTGCTTCAGCTACCAAAACCTAGAGCCTACTCCAGGGACCATCCCTTTTCCCCATGCTGTACTCTCATCATTGCAGTCAGCAGGGACAGCTGAAGTAGATTCCTAACATTACAAAGACATGGGTCAGTATAAACAGGGCACACCTGGTGGGTTTCCTTTAGAACTCTTGAACTTGCTCTCCCTCCTGAGTCTGGGACACCACAATTTTGGTAGTTTTCTATATATGCTGAAAAATCATCCATTTGTGAGGATTTTTTGTAGAGAAATGATGATTAGTATCTCATAATAATAAATATGTCTGGTTGTTTGTATTCCTGGTACTGCTGTTACTACTACATTAATGATGTAGTTTGTTGTTTGAATCTGATTAGGTATTGTTTTTATATTTTAAATATAAAAAGGGGGAAAACATGTAAACATATTACTTACATGAAAAATATCATATTTGCTTCCAATTATCACCAGAGGAATTGGAAAAGGGTCAATTAATTCATAATCCTGTGAAATAACAGTATATTTTAAACTTTATAAAACATTATAAGAACAGTGACAGAGCTAAGAGATCAGAAAACAGGCTCAGAAAAATTATTAAAAGATGTATAATATCTCTTTCAAATCTTTAGACATACAGCTATTATAATGCAGTGTAATTACATAGGACTGTATTCCAACACAATCCCTTGTAAAACAGCCCCCTTGAGAAGTGAAAGCCTTGCTGCCATAAACCTGTTGAGTGGGAACAACAAGTGCCAGGAGCCACTTTCACACAGGGGACATACCAAGGGAAGGAAATGTTGTAATGTGATGTCCCCTCCTACCGAAGTATAGCCACAAGGAAGAATTGGGCCCAATGAAGCTAAAAAAGCCCTCGTCTAAGATTCTGATGAAGGTAAAACGCATTATGTACCATAATTTTATATTGTTTTTGATACATTTAAAAATCCGTACAATAAAAAACAACTGTAATATCAAAAAGAAACCTATGGAACAGGCATTGTATTGTTTATTTGAAGTTTGTGCAAATAACTGTTATAATCAAACTCCATATGCTTGACAAAGAGATTAAGTAGACAGCTCAAGACTAATAGAGTACAGTGCATTATACTTGCAATTAACTAGTTTGAAATCGGGTCCAATTTAGTAGCTATTTAAAATCATCATCATATGACAGACTTTTAGTGTTTTCTATGAAATATGAGTATTTTCTCAGCTTGTTTTCTACAGAACAGATGTTCACTTCACAATTGGCTGAAACTTTTAGCAATTACAACACAACGGATAATGAACATATTATCAAGATAACTGAACTCTACCTTCTCTATCTGAACTCTACCAGATGATAGTGGTTCCTCCACATACGAGTTAAAAAAATTGTCAGTGGGTTAGGATGAAGCTTGAATCACTATTTATCCTGTATTTTGTCAAAATAATGGATTTTTCTTAATAGTGTTAATAAGTTAATCTATTTCACAGGCATCATATTCACTTGAAATGTGGTGGCTGAAAATGAAGGGTAGAGAAATCATTATACTGTACTGACTTGATCTAAGATGACCCTGAATTTAAGACAATCCCCCCATAATTAGATTCTATACATGGAAAATTTATAAATTTATCATTTTCCTTGTATCAAATCTAGTTATTGGGTGATTGTCTTTCATTCATCCCCCCAACCACTGCAAGGGGGCAGACAGTGGGGGGCTGGTGGTGTGGGGAAGTCAAGCAGCTTGCACCGTGCTTATGCCTACCCCCTGTCATCTGCCTGCCCCCCACAGCCTTGGGCTCCCCCTTTTCCCTCTGTACCCTCTTCTGCCACTTTCCCCAGCCTCTGCTTTCCTCTCTTCTCTCCCTGCTCCCCTCCAGCCTCTGCTTTTTCCCTTCTTACCACTCCCCACCAGCCTAGGCTTCTTCCTCCTCTCTCCCCTCCTCAGCCTCTGCTCCCCACTCTTACCTGTGCTCCACACCACCAGCTTCCATCCCAGTTCTCGTCTGAGGCAATGAGCATGGCCCAAGCCCGGCCCCTGTAGCAGCTGTGTAAACTGTGTGCCATGCTGCTTCTATGGGTGAGTCTAGGGTTATGCTCAGTGACTCAGGCTGCAGCACTGACAGAGGCTGCTGGTATGGAACAAAAGCGAAGGCGGAGGTAGAAGGGAAAGCACAGAAGCTGCATTGGCAGGAGGAGAAATGTGGAGGTACAGAGATGGTGGGTGGGAGGATGGCAGGCAGCAGCTACAACTATGGACTACAACTATGGCAGGGGCTAGAGCCTTTCCACAGAAGTGGCTTGCACACACACCTCCTCCTGCTCCCCATATATGATTCTAAATCTTGGGGATTTTTTCTCCCATTAAATGATGGGGGGGGAGGGGGTCTTAAAATTGAGTAAATACAGTAACTTTCTTAATTCAGGATAACACCAATAAGGTGCTTAAGGAGATTAGCACTATTATAGTCTCTGTTTCATTGACCCTAAAATGTCTTCAAATATACTTCAAACATGTCTTTAACAAGTCTCCTAACGTACTTATTCTCTCCCTTATCTCTAAGGACTTCTAGTAAATATTCCCCTAGTAGAAATCTTTTATGAATCTCACCAGTTCCCCAATTTTTCACAAGCATCATCTTTAACCATATGAAGGCCTACAGAGATCCCTTGATCTGCTTTGTGCTTGTTCCTCTGTAAAAGACAAAGCTCCCCACCCACAAAGATTAGCTTCTGAGTTTAATCAAATTGATGTAAGTTTGAAAAATATCACCAATATCTTAGTAGTTAAAAAGGCTGTAAAAGTCCTCCTTTCTGCTTTTTCTTATCTACAGGAACTCAATACAAACCCTAATTCAGCATGTGTGATGATTATGTCCCTCTAGAAGCTGTCTCCTGCCAAAGGTAAAAAACCTGTTTCGTTCATGTTATTTTCTTTGCCCAAATGGTAAGAGTTGTATTTTTTAAAGGCTAAAGAACCCTGTATGTTATCTGTTGGACCTGTCTGTTGCCAGCTGCATTTCAATGTAGTATTTTATTTAAGAAATTACCATTTCTAAAAAAGTTGAAAAACAACACTAGCAGTCTTGGGAAGGTCCCAAGAGGCCAATAAATGTAAAGACCCAATCCTGAAGCCCTTATTCATCTGGAAGTAAACACGATTATCTCACAAATACTGGGGCTATACACAGTAAAAAGATCTACTGAGCATCGTGGGCATTTGTTTTCTTACATAATACAACACTCCTTTTAATATTTTAACTATGTTAGCATCTGATTTATTGTATTATTTTATATAAGTTACTACAGCTGAATTTATATTCTGAATCTGTAAACTGTAGAATATTTGTTTAGGCATTAAATACACAAAGCATTTGCATAGTGCCATATACATTTTCATTTGTATTTCCATAATTTATTTTAGCTTTTTCAAAAGATTAAAGTTAGCAGTTGCATTTAAAGGCCTAGTATTAACATTTCTGAAACTTTATAATTTAATTAGTTGTCAGATTATCAAAAGGCACTGAGTTTGTGACAGACATTTGAATAAATGCAAAGTATATAGTCATGTTGAAGGCTTTATAACTATACTCATTGCTTAAATTTGTACTTTCATCTATTCTCTTGCCAGATGACTTCTGTACATTCTAGTTTTCATCTCATGTTAAAAAAAAGATTATAAAATCAATATCAAACTGCTAGTCTAAAACTCTTATTTCTTTTGATTGGTGTAACATGCCATAACAATCACATTAGATGTCTAACAAAAAGATATAAGAAACCTTCTTTCCTTGTTTCTGCTCTTACTGAATTTTCATTAAATTGCTATAATTTTCCAGTGAACAGGTTCATCTACATCAAATGGATTTTCAGTCATGCATAAAAATCTAAAAGGGTTGTTTATGATGTTCAGAAGCATTATCTTTAACTGTATAAAGGCTTATGATAACTGGAAAAAATACCAAAAGACTTTTACCGGATGATCCTTCTGTATGTTGTTCCACATCTTCTCTTGAATTTCAGTAGCGACTTTAGGATTTGTCTTTCCCAACTTAGTTATAAGTTTGTTCAGGTGGTTTCTGGTGACCTGCAGGAGACTTTCCATGGTTGGCCAGAGTTCATTGGGTTTGGAGAGATCCAAAACAAGAACTATAGCAAATGTCCTATTAAAGAAGAAAATTCTTAAGCACCAAAGATTCAGCTGAAGAAAACAATTTCATTTTTCATATATGATCTTTTTCCTGAGAGCTATTGCTAAAAAGAACAAAGATGAAAAAGAAAAAAACAGGGACAAAACTAGGCTGTAAAGACAGGTAGTCCTTCAGGTTAGATGCATGCTGATAAATCTTCCCCATTGTCTCTGCATCTGAATTTCAAAGCATTTAATGTATTCACTCCCCACAGCTAGCTTATATATCTTAAACATTATTTCTGGACATTTTGTTTGAATACAAGTAGGATCTGTGGGGTTCCATTAAGTAAGTTATCAGTGTATCTTGCCTACCTGGAATCCCCACTTAAGTAATGGCAGAAAGGTAATGAGTAAAATTCTTCCATGATGTTACTTGTTGTATCAGTCAGTTGAGACCTCACATGAAGAGCTAACGATGGTGATCTGAGTGGTGGCTCAGAATCCCTGACAGAACAAGGCTCTTATTCATAACAACAGGTTGATCAGATTTAAGGTAAGCCATAAGGCAAAGAAACTATTAAAACTCCAAACATAACAGGCATGCTTGAAACACACCTCTAAAACTTAACCTCACTTATGGCAGAGGACTAACTGGATTCAAAGTCTGCTTCAGCTATGCTGCTTAGCAACCCCAGGATTTAGTAGTATATGGACTCCAGATTAAAAGCAATCAGAAAGCCTACAGAGTAAGCTCACTTGTATGCAACATGCTTAGTTCGCAGAAGATTTCTGAATTAAAGATATTCAGTTATTTGATGCAATTTTCACTTTACTGTGTCACTTCTCTGATAAATAGTACAGGACTGCTGATGTACTACTGATCAGGGAAGCATCACCCTTTGAAATAAAAACTAGGGAAAACAGCTGCAGCACTTCAGCAGTCCTGTGCAGCTGCTTGCTGTAGCTATATGAACACCAAGCTTAATTCACAAATCCTCATCTTCACAGTAGGGTAAGGAACCTAAGTCTGCAAAATCCTACCCTATCCTCATCCTAACTGAAAAAAAAATTCCTCCCATTTCTGTTTTTCCCAAATTCACTTCTTTCCAATGGAAATCCTGTAACTTGGCCTTGTCTCCCATACGTATTTTCCTGTTCTTCTTCTGCTGCCCCATCATGTCTACGCCACTTCCTATTTCTACCCCATGTTTTGCTCTCTCCGCAGTGCTTGCTTTCTCTGTCCCCTCTAAAATGCCTTCCCTTTTCTTCCTAAGGAGTTGGTTCTTAGTGCTGCTGACACTTATCATAGGCCAAAGTCTACCTTCTGCATTCCCCATGTTGCCTTTGCTACTCTTCTTCAGACAGCAAAAGTAGAGTGGGTGCTCTCTTCTGTAGCTCTTTGTTCCACTTATGAACGGCTGAGCCACTTCCTCCATGTTGATGCCTCATTTTGTGGTTAAAGACTTCCAAATACCAAGCATATTTGCAAGCAATCTGTCAGGAAGGAGCTTACAGCTATTCACCAGTGGTAGCTGGGGCAACCCTCCATTCCCATGGAATGATTTTTAGAAAAATTCATGGTGACAATCTTTCAAAGCTAATGAACAGCTTACAGTTTGAAAGATTTCTCTACAATAATGGAGAATGAAAGCTAAGATTAATCTTGACACTGTAGAGGTTCCTCACCACTTACTTTATGTTGTCACTAGTTATTGGTATCTGAATCAATTCCAATAATGAGGTTCCACCACCTAGTTCCCAAAAATGAGCGATGTCTTTTGGCTGCAAAACAGTTTCTTTGCATTAGAAAACTGCATTTCCATATAATACCAAGAGGATACATACAAACAAACAAGGGATACATTTCTTCTGTGCAGCACACAGAACAGGAAGATATTCTGTAAGTTCTTTCCAGAAGAGAAGCCTGCTAAATAAATCCCAAGTGACACCTGTGAAAGGCTCCCAGCATACATGTGATTGCCTTATTAGGAAGCTGCCGCAAAATGCTGAAGGACGAATACCTTAAAAAGTCAGTGTAATAAATGTCATCACTGGCTTAAGCCTCTGGTATTCATTTATCTTTGCCTGAGAGAGAATACTTGATAATTTGTAAGACAGGACCCACTGATTCTAGCAAGCTAAAGGGCAAATTAAATGGCAATAATCTTTCATTTATTCAAAATTTCTCCTGACCCCTAACAAACTTTCTCTTTCCCCCAGCATGTCCAATTTCTTTTCCATGCCATTTCAGGGAAGATAACAGAACAGAACAGCATGGAAGAACAAAAGACAGCTCATTCATCTGACCCCAACACTCTTTCCTGCCCAGGGCAGGGGGTCAGACTTGATGATCTGTTGAGGTCCCTTCCGACCCTAGCATTTATGAATCTATGAATCTAGGTGAATGAGGGTGGATATGTGCCTCTCTGGACAGGAAGTGACTAGATGGGTAGAAGCCTTGGGCCTCGCATGCACTGCTACTTTAAGCCCACAGAATCCGACTTTTTGTTGCATTTCCAGGCATTGCGTGTAGTCATTTGTTCCTGTAAAAAGTAAGGTGGGTGTGAAACACCATCAAAGCAGAATGGAAATGTTTTACATCCTCATTACATTTACTTATGTAAAGTAACTATGTAAGATATTAATCAGGAGAACTGGATCCATGAAGACACCTAAGGTATTTTGAGGAGTTTGATATTAGCAAAGAATACATTTCCTCTTTTCCTTCGTTCACAAAAGGTTAGAGATGACTTTGCATTTTAGAGATGACCAGATTTTGTTGCTCACCCAAGCATCCCAACAGCAACTGTCTCAATATCTGTCCTTTAACACATGCAACAAAAGAAAACATACTGACATTACTTCGGTGTTTCTGCTAACATGTTTTGAAGTAGGTACCAATATTTACTGAAATTAGATTTCAGTGTTGACACCGCTGAGATTAATAAGCAGGTCTTACTTTTTTTAAGTATTTTCCAAGACTAACGCTGATTTTTTAATTTTATGCCTATCCAATGAAGATATATACTGTCTCTTCTGCTTATATTCTGTCAAGATTTTCTGGTTATTCCTGCAAACTGTCTGCAGAAAAAAGGTATGTCTACATGGCACAATGCAATGCTGTATCACAGATACCCTGAGACAGCTGTGAACATGCTAGCTCATGCAGCAGACAAACTGACATGAAGCAGCAGTGTGCGGAAATACCTTTGCTTAGGTATTTCTGCAGAGTGCTATTTGGACCATGTAAAAATACCATAAATCACCTATTACTGGATCAATTCATATTCAGTTCACATTTAAGCTACCACAATGACAAAGATTTTTTTTAATGAAAGCCTAGATTCTATAAAGAGACACTATGTGCCAACTGAAAAAGTGATGAGTTACAAGCACCTAAACATATGCATGATCACACTGTTCACAGTTACAAATGATATCAATTTCTGTGTGAATGTAAGTGTTAAATCATCTTGGCTTCATACATTCTCAGTGAAAAGGAGCAACTATGGATTAAAAATAAAATGAAAGCTAGACTTTTATTCCAAAAACTGATGTGAAATACAAATTGAAATACCTTGTCTCGCATATGACTGCTGATCTAAACAGAGAAGTCGCTAGTTAGATGTTATAAATAATTGAGCTGTACAACAAATATATCATAGTCCTTCTCCTATGTACTCACTGTGTTATGTCCTTTTGCTCTTCTTCCAAATGTATATTCCAAGGCTAATGTTGGTTTTGGAATTTCTTCCCTATCAATGAATACACAGTACATATCACATCCTTACATTCTGTCAAAATATTTTGATGATACTTCAGATACAATTATTTTTACCATAAGCCAATTCTATGTACTACCCAAACAGTAAAAAAGTTGGCTTGGGAACAGCCATGTAAAGAAAGAATTCTTTAAGACATACAACAAGTGTTAGTTCCTTAACCTTTACCAAAGAGACACAGAAGACTAAAATTTCAGCATTGTGCACATAACAATAGTATGTGGGCCTGAAAGTCTGACCCAAAATATTTTACTAAAAATATGTTACAGATATTTGAAGATCATCTTCAAGTCTTGACAAACTATCTAGCAGTGGCGCTCAACCTCTGGCCTGTGGGCCATATACAGCTCACAGAGCTCTGTCATCTGGTCCACAGGGCTCTCCACAGATTCAAAATTTGGCGGGGGGGTGATGGCAATTAACCCTGCGGTTGCTCACCAGCCACCAAATTTCCAAGCCCCACTTGACCTTGCGTGCTGGATTGAGCTGGTACACAGACTTGGTGCTGTGGGCCTGATCTGGTGCATGCAGGGTCAGGGCAAGGGGCCTGATCCAGTGCACAGGGCTTGGACCATACACAAGATCATGCCAACCCTGCAACTGGATCGGGTGCATGGACTGATCCCATCCACCAGATCTAGCCCACAGATGCATGCTGCATCACTTACCTGGCCCGCAGCCCATGAAGGTTGGGCACCACTGGTCTAGCAGATCATTCATTAGAAAATTAAACCTGCATGTCACCAGTGTTTTAAACAAAAAAAAAACTGGCAGGAAATATTCTATGAAACTATTCCTTCTAACATTACTATGAAAATATTGTTGATTATATTCAGCATTACAGTACCCAGAGCTGCAAAATACTTTTCAAAATGTAACACATACCTGTCAAGACACCTCAGTATAATAGTAGTCTTTCCCTGAAAATTAAAAACAATGAAGAACACTATTGTAATGACATTAAAGCATAAAAGTTATATCATTGAATATAACATAACACATTTTTCTAACATTCCAATAATAAAATAGCTGAAGAGTATAAACTTATACAGTGATTCCTAGTATGATTACTGGAAAGTTAACTGCCAACTTCGTATCAGAATGTAGCTACACTGCTATTATTATAATTATAAACTACTGAATATGACAAATACAGTAACAACAACAGGATACTTAAAATCAGATATTACTTTAGTAATCAATCTGGCCAACTGTATTAAACTGTCTAACCGTTGCTAATTCCTAATAACAGATTAATGTAATGATTGGTTTCCAGTGAATTTGCTCAAATTATGATTGATGAAATGGAAATAAAAAGAATTCAAGAAATATACATAAATATCCCATAAAACTGCACATTTTTGGATTATGAGGAATCAGGCTGAGGACAGTTTAATTTAAAAAAGGTCCTTGAACTTGTAAAATTGACTCCCTATTTGTAATCAGATATCAGAGATTGATTAACAACATTTCTTACAAATCCATACATCTGCAAAAATCCACATACGTTCTTAAAGTTCTAAAACAGAGGATTCATGATCCCATTTTTTCTGTACTAAAAATGAAGCATACATAGATGCTTAAATTCTCTCACAAAGATGAAAAAGCAAGTATAGTCTTAGTCACACTGCCAAGACCAAATTTGTTTTAAGCATTGGAAGATCAGTAAATTATTACAGAAACATAGAGGGACACCAGACCAATCCTAGAATCTTCAGTATCCAGTTTAAGACCCTGACTGCCAATACTTATATATCGTAGTTACCTGGATGTAACTAATACTTACCTGAAAGGATGTAAGGTAATACTAATACTTATTACTAAGGTAATAATTAGATCTTATACATGGAAAATTTACAAAAGTATTATAATTTTCCCATGTATAGAATCTAATTATTGGAGAGTTGTCTTTAATTCATCCCTTCCACCATTGCACTGGAGCAGGCAAGTGATGTGGGGAGGTCAAACTTGTCCCCCATTTATGCCTGCCCCCTGGCCAACTGCATGCCCCTCCACAGCCTCTACTCCCCTCTTCTAGAGCCTCTGCTCCTTTCTTCCCCTTCTCCCTCTATATATACAGAGAGATCGCACAAGCTTCTGTGGGTTGAAGCTCACAATTGCTGAAGTAAGCTTCAGTCCATGAAAGCTTGTGCCATATATCTACTTTGGTTAGTCTATTACAGGGGTGGGCAATTATTTGGGCTGGAGGTCCACTTGACAAGTTTTGGTGAGCTGTTGAGAGCTGGGGGCAGGGGGTGCCAATTGAGTCTGTCTTGCCTATCAGCCGCTGCCGATAGTCTGAGGGGGGGGTCGGTATAGTGTGGGGGGGGGGGGGGGGTTGCCCCACACCCCTCTGTTCTGCTGCAGCCAAGGCTGGGGCAGGCAGCACTGAGATTCCTCTGCCCCCTGCATTCAATCCCCCTGCCCAGCTTCCTGCTGGCACTGCACAGTCAGCCAGGCCCACATGGGACGGGGTGTGATGCGCTGTGCCAAGTAGCCATCCTGCCCACTGTGAGGAGCCGCTGCCGCTGCACTAGCAAAGTCAGTGGCAGTCAAACCCCACCTTGTGGCTGGCACAGACTTCTATCATAGCAGTGGCAATGGGTCATTGTCACAGGTGGGCAGAATGGCTACTCAGCGTGCTACATCATGCCCCATCCCACATGGGCCTGGCTGCTGGTGGCCACAGAGCCAGGACTCTGCAGCTATAGCGCCAACAGGAAGCCAGACTTGGAGGTGGGAGGGGATGGAAGAGTCTATGTGCTGCGTGACTAGGGACCACCACCATCTGCAGCAGGGCAGAGCGCAGCCCTCCTTGCCCCAGTTCCTGGCAGCGGCTGGCAGGCCGAACAGGATCAACTGGTGGACTGCATATGGGTGGTATTTTGCCCACCCCTGGTCTACTAGATGGAAATCTACCCTGCTTTCTGTTAGTCTTTAACCGGGGTGGGCCAAATCTAGTCCACAGAGCCGAGTCATTTGGCCCACAGGTCTAGAAATACAGTGGCAGGAGAACAGTGGCAGCTGTCAAATTTCTGGACCTGTAGGGAGCCCCACAGCCCAGATCATGAGGCCCCACACCCAAGATCACACAGATGTGTAGTTGAGCCTATGCAAGGGCTCACACCACACCCATATCTGGGCACATGGGGTCCAGCTTTGTGTGCGGCTGAGCGAGCCAGCATGCTGGATTGCACCCATGAACCAACCCTGTGCAGGACCCGTCCCATGGCCCAGGGAGGTTGGATGCAGCTTAAGTTGAGTTGGAGGCAGGGCAGATTTGCACCTTATAGACTAACTATAGATAGAGAAAGAAAGAGTGAGCCAGCATGTGCAAGTGCTCAAGTTTCCCTGAGCTTCCACCCACCAAAGCCTGCACTCTCTGTATGTACCCATCTCGCTGCAACCCTACTCACTCAGCAGAGAAATCACAGGCACTCATGGGTGTGGTTTTTTGTGCCAGAAGAGGCAGCGCATTACCGCAACCTGGCTTGTGGGCACTGAGCCCCCGCTAATTTTTTTTGGCGGCTACTTAAGCCCTGGAACACCCATGGAGTTGGTGCCTGTGGGACAGCTGCCAGCAGCACCGCTACCGAGGCCCAGTGGCTCTGACAGACTCCACGGAGGAGACGAGAGGGCTGTGGAGAGCACACCAGCTTTCCCAGGCTGAGGCTCCAGTCATCAGAGCATAGGGAGGCAAGCCTGCCTGCTCCCTACAGCTCTGCAGCCAGGAGCCTGTCAGGGGCCCTGCCTCCCAACGGGCTTCCCTGGCTTCCCCTCTGGCAGCAGGAGGCACCAGCCAGGTGAAGCAACAACCCAGCCGCAAGCACTGAGCAGTCAGTCACCAGGAGGCGAGGCATGCCCCAGCACTGCCAGGTTTTACATATGAAATGATCATACTGGAAGCTCAAAGTGATCGTATTTGCTGGAAAACTATCGTACGGTGAAAAAGTGTGCACAGCAGTGTGCAAATCAACTTCTTATGTACTTTACACTGCTGGGTGAGTGACAAAGGGTCCCCCGAGCTGAAGCGTTTCTCGATTTGGAGGCCAGCCGTCCTCAGACAGACAGCCCACCCTTCTGCGAAGGCTCCCTGAGAGGAACTGCACTGTTTGCCCAAGCTGCCTTCAAAAATGACCCTGCGGTTGGAGCGCTCGTCCTAGCGCTGCCCTTCCCTCGTACAAGGGATGAACTATCGCACGCCTGGCAGCCCGACGTACCCCGGCCTTGCTTCCCAGGAACAGCAGGGCTTTGTCGGCGGCGCCCTCCGCGTCTCCTCCCCGCTCCGCCGCGGCCTGGGCGAGCTCCCACAGCGTCTCGCTGCGGGGGGACAGCGGCGTCAGAAGGGGGGGGGGGCACTCGCCAACGGCCCCGCCCCCGGGGGCAGTTGGGGTTCGCGGGCACTCGCCAACGGCCCCCCCTCCGCCCCGGCAACCGTTGGGGTTTGAACCCCCCTCCCTCTCCGCGCGCTCGTCCCCAGGGAGAGGAGCGCGGGGCCAGAGCCCCTTTACCTGGCCCTGGGCATGGTAGGGAGGGTGGCGCAGGCCCCGTCGCCATGGGAACCGCGTGCCAGCCGCCGCTGCGCGCGCAGCTGCGCCCCGCCCCCGCGCGCCACAGCCCCCTGTGAGGCTGACTGTAGCAGCCCTGCGGTTGTTTCAACGCACCCACCCACACACACCCTCTCTCTCGCTGTCACACTTCGGGGTCAACACACACATACACTCTCGCTCTCTCTCACACTTCGGGGCCACCACACACACACGCACTTGGGGGCCACTAGCCAGATCCTGCCAGAAAGGTGGAGCAGCACTGCCTTGCAGCTGTGTTTAAGGTTGTGGGCGGTTGAAGAAACCAGTAGAGCTGCGTTTGGCACGGGTTAAAAACCAGGCTGTGAAATAGGAGCTTCCCACGGGGCAAAGGCTTGCTGGCTGGGCTGGTGCCACGGCCAAGCCCGTTAGAAAGTAGCGAGGGTGGGTAACGCCGGTAGAAGAGTCGGGAAGGGATGGATGGGGTAGATGGCGATGATCTGCCTCAGCCCTGCCAGTGCCGTAGCAAGGGGCAGTGGGGTGAGACCCCGCCAGGCACTGAAGCAAAGGGGCGCCAACAGATGCTGCCCAGCCAGGGCAGGATGAAGCCTTGAGCAGCTTGTTTGGGGAAGTGAGGGGACCGGGTGTCTCCTGCCGCTGTGTGCGCTCCGGGGCAAGCGTGGGGGGGGTGTGACCCCAGATCTGTGCATGTGGGGGCTGTTGCTGTGGGTTTTGCCCCAGGCACCAAACTTCCTTGCCACAGTACTAGCTGCTGCTGCCAGGCAGTTGGTTTAAACTTTGGGTAGAGCAGGGATCAAAGCGGGGCAGAGAGGAGCGCATATATACACCCCCAGGGTTGCCCACTGGT